GAAATCTATCAATCTCTACCTTAACCAATATCAAACACTGAGCTTCCATAATCCTCTGCGGTAGAGAATTCCTAAGTTTCACAACCCACTCAGTAAAAAAAATCCTCATCTCAGATCTAAGTAGCATGCCCTTATTTTTGAATGCACCTACTATTCTATCCCTTCAAGTACTTTGTAAATTTCAATGAGATGGGACTCATGGGATGTGAGGGTCACTGGCTCGGCCAACATTTATAAAAGAAAAAAGGGGTGGCACAGTGGCCCAGGTTAGCACTGCTGCCTCACAGCACCAGGCTCCTGGGTTCAGTGCAGCCTCAGGCGACTGTCTGTGTGGAGTTAGCACATTCTCCCCGTGTCTGTGTGGGTTTCCTCCCACAGCCCAAGGATATGCAGGTTAGGTGGATTGGCCATGGTAAATGTGGGGTTGCAGGGATAGGATTGGGAGTTAGCTCTTTGAAGAGTCAGTGAAGATTCGATGGGCCAACTTGCCTCTTTCTGCACTGCAAGGATTCTATCAGATCACCTCTCATTCTTCAAATCTCGAGAGAATACAGCCCCAGTTTGCTTAATCTCTCTTCAAAGGACAATCCCACCCTCCCAGGAACAAGCTTGATGAAACTTCATTGCACTCCATGTATTGCAAGCTTTCCTGAGATAAGGTGACCAAAACTGCAGAAAGTACTCTAGATTGTGTCTAACTGAGCTCGTATACAATTGAAGCAAGACTTCACTCCTCCTGTGCTCAAATCCTTTTGCAATAAAGGCTAACATTCCATAAGCCTTCCTAATAGCTTGCTGCGTCTGTAAATTAGCTTTCTGCAACTTATCAATAATGACCCACCTCAACTTATCCACCTCCTCCTATTTGTGCCTCATGCCTTTATAACTTACCTTATTCAACTTTAACATCCTTGCTTCACATAAACTACCTCACTTTCAAATATAATGTAAAATTTTATCTTATTGTGGTTACTCAAACCTAAAGGTTCTTTTACAACATGATAGTTACTTAGCTCTTTTTCACTACATAATCCTAGATCTAGAGCAGAATGCCTTCTATATTTGGCTCTTCAACACATTGCTCAAGAAAACCATCCATAACACACTCCAGAAGCCCATTGTCCACAGTTTTAGTGCTCAGTTGGTTACAAGCAGACTGAATCACCCATGATTACTGATTAGCCCTTGCTCCATGCTTCTCTCAGCTCCTGACTAATACCATGTCCCACACTACCACTATAACAATAAATAACTCCGATGTCTGCTGCCTTTTGTTGCTTCTTAACTCTACCCAACCAGATTCCACACATTGCTCTTCTGATCTGAGATCCCCCTTATGAATGGACCTATACCCATCCCTTTTTATCACTGCAACACCTCCTCCTTTTCCTTTTTTACTGTCCTTTCTGAATGTCAAATATCCTTGAATATTCATTTCCCATAGTCACCATGTGGTCATGTTTCTGTAATGGCAATTGGATCATACCCATTTATCCCAATTTACAAAACACTTAAAGGGATAGACAGAGTTGTTGCATCCAAAAATAAAAGGATTGAATATACCTTGTTGCGAATGCTGCCTGTGATCAGGTAGGGTGCCCTTTGACTTTTTGACATCATTCTGCTTTTCAAGCATATTTGATGCAAGTCCATTAAAACGCACAAGGCATTTTACAATATTTCATAGTCTTGAATTCATAATCTTGTATTGTCAGCCAAAGCTAAACTACATTCTGCATAAAAGGAGGTATATTTACCATAGGGAGTCAGTTAGCTGGACAGCTGGTGAGTGATGCCAACAGCATGGGTTCAATTTCTGCACTGGCAAGGTTGCCATGAAAGACTCTCCATTTCAATCTCTCCCCTCGCTTGTGGTCACCCTCAGTTTAAGCCATCACCCATTATTTCTCTTTAATGTGACAGCGGCCCTAAACTCCAATAAGTCTATGGCGACTTTCCACTTTATTTTATGTTTACCATACCTCCATACCCAATCTCCCCATCGTTAGTCAAAGAATGTGGAGAGACCTGGAAGAACCCATCATGAGTTAACTTAAATTATTTTTTTTTAGAAAAGGCAATCTGTAATTACAGTGGCAATAGTAAACACTTAAGCATTAAGCAGCAGTGGTATTGAGAATTAAATATTATTCCATTTAATCTTCAGAAGCCACTAGATTAGCTATTAGAATAGTGGAGGTCCATGTATATGTTGATTACGTGCTAATTTCAAATTTACCAACTCTACTTCCTGCATTAAATGTAAATCTACAGAGACATGTATTAACTATCATTTTTAATGCAGCCCACTATTTAATAATTCCATATTTTGTGAATGATTATTACCTTAGCTTTCTAGTAGATATTCTACAATGGAAAAATGGATCATAATATCCATTGTTGCAGGTTGTGACATGCCTTCAGTAAAAGCCCTGCAATACCTTTCAAAATTTATAAGAACATTATTTATGAACGGTTTAACATACAACACCTGCTGCTTTTACTAAATGAATTAAAATGTCACATAGTAGACCTTGCAAAGACAATCTGTTAACTGCAATATTGCGTAGCAATGCTTGAGGAAATGTATGTGCAAACATGCCAGTTTTTCTTTAATAGATTTACTTTGAATGAATAGTTGTGGTATTAGAGCTCAATCCTCCTGCTAAATATGATCTGTTTCTAGATGTAAAAAGGAACTCACCAGGAATCTATCAGTTCAGCACCATTAGCTGTGTATTCAACCTATAATGGGAGTGTACCACTATCTCAAATTGAATATGAGACCACAATGAGAAAAATGATTTATACCACTTAACAAAAATTCAGATGAGATAATGTTGTGTATAAAAGATAGCATAAAATTTTTCATAGGCAAATTGTATTTATTGTATTTGTTGTACAGCACAGAAACAGATTCTTTGGTCCATGCTGACCAGATATCCTAAACTAATCTAGACCCATTTGCCAGCATTTGGCCCATATCCCTCTAAGCCTTTCCTTTTCATGTACCATTCAGATGCCTTTTAAATGTCGTAACTGTACCAGTCTCCACCACTTCCACTGGCAGTTCATTCCATACACACACCACCCACTGTGTGAAAAAGTTGCCCATTATCTCTCTTTTAAATCCTTCCTCTCTCACTTTAAACCTATGCCCTCTAGTTTTGGACTTCCCTACCCTGGGGAAAAGACTTTGGCTCTTTACCCTATCCATGCCTTGCATGATATTATAAATCTCTATAAAGTCCCCCCTCAGTCTCTGACACTCTGACATAGCCTCAGCCTATTCAGCCTCTCCCTATAGCTCAAACCCTCCAACCGTAGCAACACCCTTGTAAATCTTTCCTGAACCCTTTCAAGTTTCACAATATCTTTCCTATAGTAGGGAGACCAGAATGGAACACAATAGTCCATAAGTGGCCTGACTAACATCCTGCACAGCGGTAACATGACCTCTCAACTCCTATACTCAATGTACTGACCAATAAAGGCAAGCATACCAAACACCTTTTTCACTACCCTGTCTGCCTGAAACTCCACTTTCAAGGAACTGCACCCCACGGTGTCTTAGTTCAGCAACATTCCCCAGGACCTTACCATTAAGTGTATGAGTCCTGCCCTGGTTTGCCTCACCAAAATGTAGCACCTTGCATTTCTCTAAATTAAACTCCATCTGCTATTCCTCAGCCCATTTGCCCATCTGATCAAGATCCTGTTGTACTCTGAGGTAACCTCCTTCGCTGTCCACTATGCCACCTTTGTTGGGGTCATCTGCCACCTGTCAACTTATTAACCATTTCTCCTATATTCACATCCCAATCATTTATATATATGGTTTTATATGACTTTGATGAAGAAATCATTTATATAAATTTATATAAATAAAATGTTTTGCCTTTTTGAAGATTTTGCTTCCCTTTACAGAATCAAATCAAAAATATGCTGTATTAGGATTCTTTAGGATTTTGTTCTGCATTTAAACAATTTTCCTTTTTCTTTTCCGAAACTACTTCATTATATTTAAAATATTCCTTTTAAAGTTATATAATAAATCTGAGAAATTTCCTGAATTGAAAGGAATAAACACACTGGCTGCTTTTCCTGCGCTATCTCCAGCATTATTATTTGTATTTTAGGATCAATAAGAGAAAAATGTAGAAATTTCCTTCCATCATTTCCTTCAAATGCACGCTCATGAGTACCAAAATAATCCAAGATGACATATTGACAACAAATGTATGTTTTTTTTAAATAAACCAGTTGGATTGACTTTCAGAAGTTGTGAATAGATATCCAATATAATAATCTATTTTAATGGGTGAGTACCAAATAATATCAAATAAAGATCAGTCAATGTGTATTTTATTCAATTAAAACCAAAAAGAAAGCTGATGAATTCCTCATCAGTTCTGAGGAAGGGTCACTCAACCCGAAACATTAACTCTGATTTCTCACCACTGATGCTGCTAGACTTGCTGAGCTTTCTCAGCAATTTCTGTTTTTGTTTCTGTATTTTATTCAAGTTGATCAACAAAATCAATTATAACCTTCAGCTATAAAACTCAAGCATCTGGCTGAACAAACATTTAGCTTTCTTTCCTTCTAGTCCACATTTAATAAAGATTTCAATTATATCTTTATAGAAATTGTATGTAATGATAACTGATTACATCTTAAATTAAGTGAACAGCATGTGAATTGAAAACCTTGATCATTCAAAAATATTTTCTGCAATAAGAACTTAGAATATTTTTATTGTTTCTTGCCTTCAACAAGAACTCTGACATTTCTAATCTTCTACATAAAATATTTCTGTGCTCTTAATGCATGCCAGCTTTCAAGCTTTTCACAACTAACAATGTGCATAAGATGTCAACACAATGTTATGGTATGTATCTTTCTTCCTACCACATTTAGTTTTAACATTTTGTGAACTTTGAAAATGTTCTAGAAGTGTAAGTAACTATATTCATCTTTGTTATTCCCTCAATAAACAGCCTTAAGATCTAAAATGACCAGGCTAGGTAAAAAGGTGGCGATGTGAAGTGGAGCCTTCGATCCAACAGTAACTTGACCACTAATTCTACCTGGAACATTGGGAAGTAATGTGACCTGTTAAATACAGGTTGAAATGACCGTCTGCGGAGTTTCTTATGCAGCTTATTCATCTATTACTCAGCTACAAAATTCAAACAATATGTTGTATCCATTGCATTTGTATAACCTGTCATTTATCTCAATTTAATTGAGCTATCCAATCATTTGTACTCTGTATTGCATGTGGAAAACAGTATTAGGCTCAAATAAATGTTGCAAAATTGTTGTAAAAAGGGACATGAAGCCAATTCACCAACACAGTGGCTCAGTGGTTGGCACTGCTGTCTCACAGTGCCAGGGACCTGGGTTCAATTCCACCCTTGGGCACCCTTGTGGAGTTTGCACATTCTCCCTGTGTCTGTGTGGGTTTGCTCTGAGTGATCTGATTTCCTCCCACAATACAAAGATTGTGCAGGTTAGGTGGATTGGCAATGCTAAATTGCTCATAGTGTCCAGAAATGTGTAGGTTAGGTGGGTTAGCCATGGGAAATGCAGGGCTATAGGGTAAGGGGGGCTAGCCCTGGGTGGAATGCTCTTTGGATGGTCAGTGTAGACTTGATAGGCTGAATGGCCTGCTCCCACACTGTATGGATTCTATGATTCTATAACATACATCAGCAATATTAAAGTTCTATACTACCAAATGACTGTTGCAAAATAGAATTAGTTTTAGTTTTGAAACCGATTTTCACTTACATTTTTAGTTTGAAAGATTATGAGTAATAAAGTTCTTTGGCCAAAATTATTTGTATTGTGTTTTTCTTTCAAATTTAGATGTAAAATAATTGGTGACCTTTTTCACATAAACAATATTTTCCGTAAGACACATTTAGCCTAATGATAACAAAATGCATTCCCTTTTGGAGGTACACGAGAAGTTGATAATGCACCTTTTACTTGATTTTCAATCAGCAGTGTAGGATTTGGCCTGTTTCACACCTGATGGAAAAATAAAATTTTGGCCTGCTTTGATGCTGAGATCAGAACTACGGAGCCTCACAGAAATAAATGAAATATTTTTATTCACTCATGGGATCTTGGTTTTGCTGGCTAGATCAATAGCTATTGCCCACCCCTAAATGGCCAAGGGCAGTTATGTGTAAGAAGCCCCAGGTAGGCCATGAGATTTCCCTCCCTGAAGGCCATTAGTGAACTAGGTGCATTGCTATGATAAGCAAGGGTGGTTACAGGGTCATCTTTCAGCAAATTCCAGATTTAAATTTCACCACATTGGGACTTGAACTCACATTATCAAAATGTTAGCTACAGCCTCTGGACTACTAGTACAGTGACAGGAGATACTAGGCCACTGCCTTTCCTTGAGTAAAGGAAGCATAAATTTTTACTTTAATTGATATTTGCCAATTTCTTTTCAGAGATTTTGTTCGAATAATGAAAGGAAGTTATTAAATCTCTTTATCATGTTGACACTTAAAGATCAAAATTCAACAAGTCTCCATTATAATCTATAATTTAGTTCCAAACTGTCCTGAAGACATAGGAAAAATAGCATTGAAAATTTAAGAAAGAAAATTCTTAGAGGAATATGGAATTATCACATTAAACAATGCCCTGAATTCCAGCAGAAAGTCCATTAGTTCTCCAATCAGAATATCACATAATTTTTCATTGAAATACAAAACTCCTGTTACAGTTTAAACTTTCCTTCCAAGAGTAAGCGATCCCTTTCAATTGATTAAACCTTAAAATTCCAATGAATGTTCAAAGTTTGCACAAAAAATATATTTCACAAATAAATTTAGCAATTATACACTTTGACTCTCAAAAAACAAGCTCAGATATTTCTCAAAGGGCCAAGATTTTCAAACCAACTGTGAACGTAAATCTAGGACCAGAGGATATAAGCTCAGAATAAGGGGTCGCACATTTAAAACAGAGATAAGGAATTTTGTCTTTGAGACATTTGTGAATCATTAGAATTCTTTACCACAGAGGGCTGTTGAGACTGGGTAGTTACGTATATTCAAGGCTGAGATAGATTTTTAATCAGCAATGAAATCAAGGTTATGGGAACGAGGCAGAATAGTGGAGTTAAGGATTATCTAATTCGCCATGAGCTCATTGATCCTCAGAGCAGAATTGATGGTCTGAATGGCCTATATCTGCTCCTACATCTCATGGTCTTATGGCAATAAGATTAGCTGCAGGCTGCTTTGATAACATTACGCCCAAATACAACTGTTCTTCAGAACTGCCACTTCTGTTTCAGGTATGTCTACTTACAAGAAGCTCTGCTCCTCTCTCCGAATTGAATCCTGTTTTAATCTTTCAACTTGTTCACCTTCATTGCTTTCTAGTGTTTTGATAAAGTATTTGCCAAAACTTGATTTCACAGCCACACTCCTTCCTCAGTGACTCCACCTTACCCCATATGGATTCTAACTGAAGTTCTATCCTTGATGTTTCGAACCCAATTAAGATGACAGGCATCCCTGAGTTCTGAAGACGAGTAATACCAAACTCAAAACGTTAACTCTATTTCTCTCTATTTCTGCTGAGTTTCTCCAGTACTTTCTGTGCATTTTCAGATTTCCAGTATCCGCAGTATTTAGTTTTTAAGTTGTACTTAATTGGTAAAAAAACGGATATTTCTAACAACAGAAAGACATGAACAAGTTTTGGAATTCCCTATCTAAACCCCTGTGACAGAAACATTGGAAGATTTATAGCACAGAAAGAGGTCACTAGTACATAACGTCCTTGCTGCTAAAAATAACTATCCACCCTTTCCAGTTCTTGTCTGTAGCCCAGAGATGTTTAAATGTGATAAGAATTGCTGCCTCTACCACCATTTCACGAATTAAATTCCATATCTTCATCACAGCATGACTTAAAGCCTACTCCCTGCTAGTTAGTGACCTTTTCACTAAAGATACAAGTCCTTCCTGACCACCTTATTTAAAAGTCCCACCAATTTCATGAATCTGCAGATACCTTGCCACTTCTCAGAGTCCTGCCATTTATTGCAAAATCACTTGCATTTTTTGTGCTCCCCTCACAATTACACACAATGTAACATGTTAGCAAGATCAAGAATAGGAGGACAGACCAAATAAATGTGTGTGCGGATTGATAATGTAAGCAAAACTGAAGGATTTAGATTTTTGAGGCATTGAGACCAATTCAGGGAAAGATAAGACCTGTAGAAGCTGAATATTTTGCACCCAATTAAGAACTGGACCAACATCCTCGCAGGGTCTTTGCTAGTGCCATGGGGGAGGGTTTCATTCTGGACTGACAAAGGACGGTTTAATTAATAATGTTGCAGTGATCATTCTTTTGTAAAAAGTCTCATAATATGATAAAATTCTTCTCTGGGATAAAAAGTCAAAGTAATCCAATCCAAAACTAGTGTACTATATCTAAACAAAGGCAATTACAAAGATACAAGGAACGCATTGTTGACAATACACTGGGTAGCTTTATTAAAAGGCGTTGACTATGGACAGATAATGGTTATTACTGAAGGAAAAAATGTATATGTTACAGCACTTATGCATTCCTTCTGGGAGAAAGAACACAATATGAAAACTATGGTTAACAAAATAAATTAAGGGTAGTATTAGATCCAAAGAGGAGTCATATAAAGTTGCTTAAAAAAATAGCAAGGCTGAGGACAGCAAGCAGTTTAAAATTCAGAAAAGGAGGCCCAACAGGTTGATTCAGATCAGAGGGGAAAAATATAGTCTGAGAGTAACCTTTCAAGGAACATAAAAGCAGACTTTAAGAATTTATACACATATGTAAAAAGTAAAAGGTTAGTGAAGACGAATGCAGGTCATGTATTGTCTGAAATGGGAGAATTGATAATGGAAAACAAGGAAATGACAGTCCAATTAAAGAACTACTTTTGTTTTGTCTTCATAGAAGAAGACATTAAGTACTGTACTGTTCTTTTTTTCATTATTTGTTGTTTTTTGAGTGCTAGGGGAGCAAGGATTTTTTGGGAAGAAGTAACTGAAGCAGATTAGCATTTGTAAAGAGTAGTGCTGGAAAAATCAATAGGACTGAAAACTGATCAGTCCCAAGAGCCTGATAATTTACATCCCAGGATACTAAAGGAGATGGCCATGGAAATAGCCGATGTGTTGACTATCATCTTCCAAAATTCTGTAGATTTTGGAACAGTCCCAGCAGATTGGTGGGTGGCAAATGAAGTCCCACTGTTTGTAAAAGGAGTTGGGAGGAGAAAACTAGGGATTATAAAACCGTTAGCCTAACAGCAGTTGTAGGGAAAATGCTAGAGTCTATTATGGGGAGGCAACAACCTAGTGACATTATTACTGAACCGTTAATGCAGAGACCCAGATGATGTTCTGGGAACCCAGGTTTGAACCCCAACATGGCAGACGGTGGAATTTGGATTCAATTTTTAAAAAAACTGGAATTCAGAATCTAATGATGGCCATGAATTTATTGTTGATTATCGGAAAAAAACATCTGATTCACTAATGCCCTTTCAGGAAGGAAACTGCCATCTTTACCTGGTCTGTACATGTGATTCCAGACCCACAGCAATGTGGTTGACTGGGCATTCAAGGATGGGCAATAAATGCTGCCTAGCCAGTACTACTCTCATCCTGTGAATGAATAAAAAATGCGATAATAGGACTCTTAAAAATTGCCAATAGTTTTACGTAGCTCAACATGGACTTATGTCTTAAGCAATGATCATCTACAACAACACTCAGAAGCTCGGTATCATCCAAGACATCTGTTTAAGTGATGGAGTATACCAGGTCAATGACACACTGTAGCAAATTGCCAATTCTCATTCAACAGAACTTTCAATCTTTTCATCTCCACCACCTAGAAAGACAAACATAGAAGATGCATGAGAACACCACAATTATTCATTTTAATGGTACCTGCAAATTCCCATCCAAGCCACAGATCATCCTGGCTTGAAAGTAGGGTCCTATATCTATAATAAAAACAGAAAATGCTAGCAAAACTCAGCAAGTCTAGCAGCATCTGTGAGGAGTGAAAAACAGTTAATGATTTAAGTCAAATATGATTCTTCTTCGGAAGTAATGAGGAGTCATATTGGACATAAACCTTAATGCTGTTTCTCTCTCCACAGATGCTGCCAGGCTTGTTGAGTTTCTCCAACACCCCTTGTGGAATTACAGCATCCACAGAACTATTATTTCTTCACTGTTAATGGGTCAAAATCCTAGGATACCTTCCAAAGAGCCTTGTGGGTGCACCTATTTAGATAGACTGTAGTAGTCCAAAACAGGTGACTCGCCATCAATTTCTCAAAGACATTTAGGCATGGGCAATAAGTGTCTAATTGCCTTTGAAACAATTAAAAAGAAAA